AAGTGCTGGTTCTGGATCGGAGGTAATAGGAGGTGGGAATAGCCGGGTAGAGCATTCTGCTCAGGTAGGGAGGGAGCTTCCCCGAAAAGCTCTTAAACACCAGGCTGGAAAGATGAAGGGTGCGTCTGGATTACAGCAACAGCCAGTTTAGTTCTTTTAGCGTGTCACAATGGTGGGTCCTGTAATTACATTGTAGCACAAATCGGCAGAACGAGTTATACAATGTATTGAGTTTATTAATGTGGGATTGCAGTGCAGATGCATATACTGCATCCCCATAATCAATGATTAGCATCAGCATTTGCTGTACAATCGTTTCCTTTACTGTAGGGCTTAGGCAGGATTTGTTTCTGTACAGGGCACCTAGTTTTGGATGAAGTTTAGGTGCAAGTTTTTCTATGTGGAGGCCAAAAGATAGATTGGGGTCTAACATGATATACTTTCCTGAAGAAGTGTGTTTTCAAAGATTTTTTTGAAGGAGTGGAGACTGGGTGAAAGTCTAATGGAGAAGTGAAGGGAGTTCCACAGAAAAGGTGCAGCCCTGGAAAAGTCTTGGAGGCGAACATCAAATGTGGGAGTATGGACAGAGGATAGACTTATGTTCTCATTGACCCTCATTGGGGAGTCTGTGATTGAACAGCCACAGAAAATCTGGGTGGGCTTACAAGAAGAGAGCTTGCAAAGGAAGCAGACCAGAGAAATGCAGGTTTGCGAGAGGTTCTAGATATATCGCCAATTTTTAAAAAAAAATAGTTAATTAAATGCTTGCAATATTACATTCAAGGTATATCTACTAAACAGGGATTTTTAGGATACTGCAAAAATCTTCAGGAATGGTTTGAGGAACATGAATTCAAGGTGTTGCCTTGGCTTCCAGATTTCCCAGATCTCAATCCAATTGAGCATCTGTGGAATGTGCTGGAAAAATGGCGAGGCCATACCTCACAACTTGCATGACTTAAAGGATCTGCTGCTAATTTCTTGGTGCCAGATACCAAGGGCACATTCAGAGGTCTTGTGGAGTCCATGTCACTCGACACATCAGAGCTGGTTTGGCAGCACGAGGGGACCTACATCGTATTAGGCAGCTGGTTGTAATGTTATGGCTCAATAGTGTATATTTGGAAATAAATGAGGAGAGAGAGAGAGAGTTTGTGAGCCCTTCAGAATTGTACTTAATTCTGTATGAATTTTACTTGCAGTGTGGTCAGATTATGAATTCATAACAGTAGATACAGTGGTTTAGATTATTTTAATATGTTTGCTTGCATACATTTATTAGTCATACTCATCGCGTGACAACTGGAGTCCTTACTTTTCCTTATGTATAAATTTGGAAATTATAATTTTGAGGAAAAGAAAAAAACGAGACTACCCGGGGAGACAAAATGTACAAACTTAAAAAAATAAGACCGTGCTGCTTTAACCCCTTAAGGGTGGCAGGCATTCTATGCCGTCCTTTTTGGGGTGGCTCTTAACACTGCAGGGCGGTATAGAACATCCCCGCCGTTCTTCATACTCACCAGCTCCTCGACGGTTGTGATCCTGGGAGTTCAGACAGCCCCTCTCTGCCCGATCTGGCCCTCCTGGGACACGTGATCGCGCGGTTCTCGCGATCATATGGCCAGAAAAGCATGCTTTTGCTGTGCCTGCAGAGGGACTGCCTGAAATCTCAGACAGTCCCCTTAATGCCTGCAGAAAAGTTTTACAAAGTTTGTAAAACTTAAATAAAAGTTTTAAAAAAGTAAATAAAAGTACTTAGATTATATATATATATATATATATATATATATATATATATATATATTCTAAGTGCTTTTATGTGCACATACATATAGTATTATTCTAAGTGTATTTTAATATTAAAATATATATATACTTACATATATATTAAAATACACTATATATATATACACACATAATAAAAACAAATACATTTAATAAAATGAAAAAATATAAATTATATACCTGTTTTTTTTCTAACTGTATTTTATTAATATGCATATATATTTTAATCAGATACATTTAGAATGACGTTATAAATGCATATATGTATATATATATATATATATATTAAATTTTTTTAAATGTATACATTTTTAATATTAATAAATATATATAAATATATATATATATATACATATATATATATTAATTAGATTGGATTAGCCATATTAGTCCATATAACTATACACATACCGTATAGCCGCATGTACATAAAGCTATACATAATTAAAAATAAAATTGATTGATATATATTTAAATTCTACATATATATTTATATAATATTTTTACATAATTAAGTAATTTAATTAATTACAATTTGAGGGACTTGCCTGACAACCCAGGCAGAATATCCAGAAAATTTGGTTCGCATGCCCTATATTTTATCTTGTAACTTTCCAAGACACTATAAAACCTGTACTGATTTACTCAGGAGACTGCGCTGAACACAAATATTAGTGTTTCAAAACTGTAAAACATATCACAACCATGATATCGTCAGTGAAAGTGCCTTTTTTTTGCATTTTTCACACACAAACTGCACTTTGATGATATAGTTGTTGTGATACGTTTTATCGTTTTGAAACACTTATGTTTGTATTCAGCGAAGTCTCCCGAGTATACCAGCGAATGGCAAATGTGACTAAGTGGCTACTAAAAAAAGTCTGGACATATACCCCATTTGTAATACCTTGCATTGTCTACTTTTGCAAATGGTATGCTATCATGGGGGTAATTTTCATTCCTGGGCTACCACATGGTCTCAAAGGCAACATAACACTTCTGTTAATTCTGCATAATAAATTTGAGTGTTCTTGCAGTTATTTTTTTTTCTTTTTCGTTTTTATAGCAAGCTTGGGTATTACCCATAAGTAATGCTGCCATGATTAGCCAGGAAATTTTATTTTATACTTACCAGTAAATTTATTTTTCTAGCTATTTATCATATTTCTTAATTTATCACATTTATTTATAGTTTATTAATATTAAATTATGTTTATAATATAACTATTTGATGTGAAATGAAAGCTCTGTTTCTCCTGAACAGAATTATATATAATAAGTGTGGGTGCATTTAATATGAAATAGGTGAATTATGGTTGAACAGAGATCTAGCGCAAATTTAAGGTTTTGTTTACGTTTTGATCTGAACTTGTACAACGGCCTCAGTCCTTAAGGGGTTAAAGGTGTAAGTGTTTTTGTTTTCATTTGTTTCCTTGTTGGTGTGGTGCTTTGTACTTGGTCTGTTTCCAATATTTAGAGCCCTATGTGTGTTGCTCTTTGTCTTGTATAATTTTTTTAAATGTTTATTAACCTGCACGATTAATACCATTAATCATTCAGACACTGGCAATGATTGAAAATGTATTTTGTTGCTAATCATTTAATCAGTTTTGTAATGTTTTCATTTATTCTCCCATCTATTCCTCCTCCCATACATTCTGCTCTCCCTACCGTAGTCTTCTTATCCTTCTTTGTGTCTGCTGCCACGCTTATCACTCTGCATCCCTTTCCCTACCCCATTTTGATACTCTACAACCAAATTAATTTATCAAATAATGCATGCTGATTTGACACAGTGGTACTATAAGTTTTGCACCATTTATGACTACAATCAAGATGTATTCTGTCCAGTTACATGAGAGATCTCTACCATTGCAAAGCTTACTGCATTCATCCCCAATATTTTTTTATGTGTTTTCAAGTTTCTTTCAAAGTCCAATGTTAAGTATAACATATAGAACATGTGGTTTTGCTACCTGTGTTTGTGTCAATTAAAAGAGTGCATGATATCAAATCAATAGCAGAGGAGAAATTGCACTGTTTAGATGTTTCTTAATCTACTTTGTTTCAGTAGATATTGTGAAGCTTAGGTCAGTGGTGTGTACATTAGTGAAAGCGGACCATAGCATCATGCAGGGCCGTATTTATTTGATTGTCTCCTACCCACTTCCCCAGCAGAGTGTAATTTATTTATTTTCAAGTCTTGAGAAAAGTTGCAGGGGTCCTTTTTAAAATATGACTCATGTATGAACTGGCCATAGCAACTGTTCTGCTATTGAAAAATACATTAACTATGCTGGATATTTTAAATCTTTCACATTTTTTTCTTCTTCTTCTTTTAATCCATCTCAAATATATTTTTTAAAAAAAATATCAAACCCAGTATTTATATAGCAAGATCATATGATCTTGTTTTTTTTTTTCCCCCTTTCTAACTATAAAAAGAACTGTTTAACCCACCCCATGCTTAAAGGGACAAATTAGGCACCATATTAACTTCATCTAAATTAAGTTGTTATGGTGCCAGGAGGCCCCCTGGCGTACTCTTATCTCGAAGGGTTAAACTATTCTCGAACAGTTGAGCTTCCAAGTTGCCTCCAACGCTGATTTCAACTCCCACGAGGTGTTATCTGCCTTCTGAAATCTCTGTTTTAGGAAGTGCAGAGTGCAGCCAGGGAGGGTCGCCACTGATTGGCAAAACAGCTTGCTGAAGATCTCTTGTATGAAGCCTTTAGATCTAATCCCCCTTTTTCCCTGCAGAGACTTTTCCAGTCATTTCTGCATTGATTAATAAAACAACAATTTCAAATTCAATTTCATAGTTTTGTAAATAGCTAAGAAGTTAATAAGAAGGACCTGTCACATGAAGCACTTAAGCAAGCAAGTGCACTATGTGTGTGGAGCAGTCTTTTAACACTTCTGCAATATCAATGTAATCATATAATTGTAATCATTTTTTTGTTCACCTTTAATGACTTTGATTACCTGAGAGTGGAGGGGACTAGCCCAGCACCCAAATGGTATTGTCCAGGTCGGAGAAAATGGACTTTGATAATGTTGACTTGTTAATTATCATTGGGAATGAGGAGAGCCCTGGTTTATGTAAAACCTCAACTGAACAGTTTGATATTGATATTAAACTGGAGGACAGTATCAGAGTACACTAGGCCTTAGTTTCTCAACCTGTGGTACGTGCACCACAAGCAGGCGGTATGCCAATATCTGGCCAGCTGGTGGATAATGGAGGAGGAGGAAGTGGCGGCAATAAAGCTGTACTCTTCATGATCTTCCAACTCTGCTCCCCCACGTTCCCTGCGGTGATGCTGGCAGTTGTTTTACATCACTCTGGCCCCAAAGCAGTGCTGGAAGAGCACGAAAATTACACATGTCCCACACTAGACCCAAGGGGTAGGATCCCCCGTTGGATCCCAAAGTTAGGGAGGCTGAGTGGACTTACTTAAAATGTATTAAAAAAAATAAAATAATAATTTGTAAGTGAATGTGTACAGATGTGACTGTGTGTAAAATTAGTGAGTGTGTCCTGTGTGTGTCAGTGTCCTCTGTGTTCAACTATTATATGTGTATTATTTTCATTCTGTGACTCTTATACTGCAGATTAATAGTTCATACACTCCTCCTTACATATACAGTATTTATATTGTCATATTTATTTCAAAAATATTCTTTACTACCTTTAGTCAGGCTTGTTCTCCAATATGGGATTAATTTAAATATCAGTGTCTAAACGTTTCATTTGGAATTTATATTAATAGAAATTCCTTTCTCGGGGCAGGGTTACTTAGGATTATTTTTATTTTTTTACACCTGCAGATGTACTTCTTTGTAAAAGGTTGAGAAATACTGGGCAACATGATCACTATGGTGAGCAATTAAGGGATTTATTTTAAAATATATTTAAAAATTTTAGTGCATTTGTGTATGTAATGCAAAAGTGCTATAAGTATACCCTGTTCTCCTATTTACTAAACTAGGCATGTCCAAAAAAATAAATAAATCTATCCTTAAGACCAAATTTACTTTTAAATTACAAGTAGACTAATGATGGATTGTTTAGCGACTCGACCAGACAGAACTATGACTATTTTCTATGCTCCCTACTGTAATTGTGTCTGTCTGCCTGGGACTATCTGTGTGTGTATGTGTGTGTGACTGCCTGTGACTGTATGTGTGACTGTGTGTGTGTCTGCCTGTGACAGTTTGCGTGTGACTGTGCGTGTGCGACTGTTTGCGTCTGACTGTGTGTGTAACGGTCTACCTGTAACTGTGTGTGTGAATGTCTGGCTGTGACTGTGTGACTGCCAAAAATAGGACCCGCCCCGGGTGCCAAGTGGCCAGCTGGCAAGCTCTTGGGCCCCCTAGGACACAAGGCAAACAAGGGATCTGCCTGGGCGTTTGGCGGTGGCTTTTTTTGCCGCCCACTTCAAAGTACCGCCCAAGGCAAATGCCTTGTTTTCCTCACAATAAATACATCATTGCCTATGACGCTATCTAAGTGTGTGTTACATAGGCTGAAAAGAGACATGTATCCATCAAATTCAGCCTTCCTCACATTTTTGTTTTGCTGTTGATACCCTGCTGGTTTGTCTAATAAAACAGAATGGACAGCAAGCCTGGGGAACAATATTGGGGCGTATTCATTAAAACAACGAACTGTAAAATGAAAACCTCAATTGCAACATTTGGGCTAAGATAGCTAATGTAGGAAGATTCTCCTACTCTGCTATAGTGTGATTGGCTATTTTACTCTGGATTTTGCAGTTCAGGTTTTACTTTTCTACTATCGGCTGTTTAGCGAATACACCTTATATTGTGCCTGGTAAGGGGGTGATATTAATATAATAGGAGTTGCAACTGGCATGTATCGTAATGCGAGTTTCCATGTAGAAAGGACAATCCCTTTTTTCTAGGTGCTCCATATTGTTTGGGTGTCTGCATGTAAAGTCAGTCTGTGTAAATAAGATACAATGTTCTTGCTCTACATTACATTTTAAGTTCCATAAATTGTTGTTAGTAACTCATCTAAAATTTCTCAGAACAGCCCCGCTCCTGGCCACACCCCTACTCACACCCTTAAAAATAAAGTTTCGCTCTTTGTCTATTTGAAATGTTGGGAGGTAAACGTAATATTATGGTAATTATATAGCGCCAACAAATTCTGCAGTGCTTTACAGTGGGTGAACGAACAGACATGTAGTAGTAACCAGACAAGTTGGACACACAGGAACAGAGGGGCTGAGAGCCCTGCTCAATGAGCTTACATGCTAGAGGGAGTGGGGTAAAATGACACAAAAAGGTAAGGATAGTATTAGACTAGTGACAGTTGCAGAAGAGGAATCAGTCCAGAGCTATTAACCGTTTAATTGATACGTTTTTATGAAGAAGTGTGTTTTTAATGATTTTTTTGAAGGAGTGGAGACTGGGTGAGCATCTAACAGACCAGCCTTTTCATATATCTAGCTATTGACCTTTCCTCTCACTATTTTATTAAATGCGCACATGCTTTGTATTGTGCATCCTCTGAATGTCCTGATTACTGTTCACTGCAGATATGGGCATTTCTGTGTCCTCAGGGTGATTGTTCAAGCAGAGTTCAATTAAGCTATAGTTCAAGTAAGGTCTCATTGCTTTCTCTGTCTTCATGGTCTAAATCAAATTAAAACAAACCTTGAATGATAAGCTAACAGAATTTTTTATTTTTTTAAAAATAAGGAACAAAAATCTTGAATGTAACCTAATAGCAGACAATGCATTAATTTTATCATGAATCAAACTAGCCAGACTTTGAAGTTACGCACAATCACATGGAAAAACTGTTTATTTTTTTTCTACCTCTTTTGTTTGCAGCATGGAGTTTGTCTGTTTTAATGGAGTTGTGTGTGTGCTTTGTTAAAGTGGTGTATAAATGCGTGGCTTTACTTGTGTGGAAGGCCAGGGTGCTTGGATGATGTGTGCCAAGACTCAGCCAACCTTCATAGACCCTTCCTGAAAAATTTCCACTTTTTTATTTTGCTTTCCTTATTGTACAATTTAGAATTTCTTCTATCCTTTTCTTTTAATAGCTTGCTAGAGCTTGCAACAACAACTTGCTGTGTGTTTAATGTTCATTTAATAGCTAGAGATAAGAATTTGTAAAGTAAACACACTGCTCTGTAATATCTGATTGAAAATGAGGGATATTAACTAAACGGCCCTCCCATCCCCACACAATACACACAAACATACAGCACTCACACTAACAGCACCCTCACACATACTAACAGCACCCTCACACATACTAACAGCACCCTCACACACACTAACAGCACCCCCCCACACACACTAACAGCACCCCCCCACACACACTAACAGCACCCCCACACACACCCAACAGCACCCCCCACACTAACAGCACCCCCCACACACCAACAGCACCCCCACACACACTAACAGCACCCCCACACACACCAACAGCACCCCCACACACTAACAGCACCCCCACACACACCAGTAACAGGAACCCTCCACACACACACTAACAGCCTCCCACACACACTAACAGCACCCCCCCACACACACTAACAGCACCCTTACACCCACAGCACCCTTACACCCACAGCACCCTTACACCCACAGCACCCTTACACCCACAAACAGCACCCCACACACACACACAGCACCCCACACACACACACAGCACCCTTACACACACACACAGCACCCTTTACACACACACACAGCACCCCACACACACACACAGCACCCTTACACACACATACAGCACCCTTACACACAGCACCCTCACACACACATACAGCACCCTTACACACAGCACCCTTGCACACACTAACAGCACCCTTACACACAGCACCCTCACACTAACAGCACCCTTACACACACACACTAACATCACACACACACACACATACATACAGCACCCTTATACACACATACAGCACCCTTACACACACACATACAAACACAGCACCCTTAAATACACAGCGCCTTCACACACACACAGCGCCCTCACACACACAGTGCCTGCAAACACACGCAGCGCCCGCACACACACGCAGCGCCCGCACACACAGCGGTATATGTGTGTGTGTGTGTGTATATATAATATATATACGCGGCGTGTGTTTGTGCTTTAGGGTGCACACCCTTATACAATAGGCTGCGCATGCCTATGGTTACATTAAACAAAGGGGTAAACTGAAAGACATTAGAAGGAAATTATTATTATTTGTGTTGTGTTCCTGTAAACCATGACAACATGTTTTGGACTTTGCAACAACCTCATGTTAGACAAGTAGAACATGTTTTGTTATGTCATTGTTAGTAAAAATCGACTGAAAATCAATCCTGCCTATGTGTCTGGTGCTCAGAAGTAGGAATATTACTTCTAATTTTACTATTTTTTCTGACATGTTTGTTTCCTATCTTTATATTTAATTTTAAATGAGAATGGAGAACTGATGATCTATGTAAAATGACTTCTAAAATAGGCTCTGTAAAAGTCATCTATATACCTCAAATGAAAACTTGCACGCATTAAAGGGACACTATAGTCACCAGAACAATTACAGCTTATTGAATTTGTTCTGGTGAGTAGAATCATTACTTTCAGGCTTTTTGCTGTAAACACTGTCTTTTCAGAGAAAATGCAGTGTTTACATTACAGCCTAGTGATAACTTCACTGGCCACTGCTCAGATAGCTGTTAGAGATCCTTCCTGGGTCATGACTGCCTAAAATGGATCCAAATGTTCAGATCTCCTCCCTCTGCATGCAGGCACTGAACTTTCCTCATAGAGAATCATTGATTCAATTCATCTCTATGAGGAGATGCTGATTGGCCAGGGCTGTGTTTGAATCATGCTGGCTCTGCCCCTGATCTGCCTCTTTGTCAGTCTCAACTAATCCTATGGGGAAGCATTGTGATTGGATCAGGCTACCACATGTCAGCAGACTGCTTGTTTTTCTGAGTCTGACAGCATGCAGAGTTACAGCTTCAGGTTTGAATACAGTAAGATTTTGCTATATTTATGGAGGCATGAGGGGTCCAGGGGGGCTAGATGGTGGTGTTAACACTATAGGGTCAGGAATACATGTTTGTGTTCCTGACCCTATAGTGATCCTTTAATAAATTAGTGGGTAAAAAACAGACTGTACATCATTATACAAAGTTCCAGATCAATACAGCGAAAAACAAATTCCAAGGATCTAGGGAAGCTAAATGGATACATAGATATTAACCAAAGCAATAATAAATCGGTGCGTGGTGTCCATATATACAATGCCAGTCCTCAAATGAGGGCATCTAATCCGAGATGAATGAGGTGTACAAAATTTAACGTGACAATATTGTATTTTGAATTATAGGAACAGAGGACAGTTTATAGATTGACTCTGGTGAAAGCTTGGAATGTGGATGAATTAAGAGCATATGCCGATTTGGTTACCGTTGGTAGACCGGATTTCATTGAAGTGAAGGTAAGCAAGTTGGGTTTGGGATAATTACGTTACCATGCCAGGTTTGCGAGAATTGTATTGAATGTTTATTCATGTGTTGATTTTATTTTAATTTTTTTCATGTCACATGTACATGCATGGATTTTTTTATTGTTTGTGTTATAAATTTCTGCATCCTAAAATTAGTCTTTTTGGTTTATTTGGTCCAATTGAAGGCTTGGATGTCTGTGTCTTCTCAGTTAGTGATTCCTGGATGAGACTATGCATGTACATTTCTAAAAAACAAAACTTAATATTCTGTAACTGATTCGTGGCCCACTTTGTTTGTTCTGATGCATCTTATGACATTATTTAAGATCTTCCATAGTGGAACAGTGCAAAATTATTTAGAAAGTTAGACGCCTACACTGCATACCTCAGGAATGTTTAATACTCAAGAACTAAATGTCTAAATGAACTTTGATTTTTTTTTATTGTAATGAGAACCATATTGCTTATACAGTCTTAAATCTCTTTTAAAAAATGTATTTACTTGGAATGAAATACATTTTTTTGTGTAGCATGTGTTAAACCACTAGATTTAATTTTGATATTCATGGAACTATGAAAATCATTGAAAAAAAATAAGAATATATTTCTATTAAAGGGACTGCCACCATTATTTTGAGAGATGCACATACTATTAATCTAAACCTATTTTCCTCATGTTATCACTTAAATAACTTACCCATAATGTGTCTAACTCAACTGATTTGCATGCTTTCCAACACCTATACAAAAACTAAGTTAGAACAGACACTGTTTCCACTCAATATTGGTTTTAAAAATGTCAGCAAGTCAAATGGTTAGATTAAAAAAAAAGTACATGATGAGAAAATATCCTGCCATATGGAATGTATAACCCAGGCTCCATGATATTTAATTTCCAGAAACAAATGTCAAAATCTCTGCTGTAAATTACAGTGACACACACATCAACCAAAGAGCTTTTTTTAATATTGAATACGTAAACTTTAAATTGATTGGATGGTGGTGTGCAGTGAATGGAGAGACCTAGCCCTGTCATCAGTTTGAATGACTTATGCTCCTCTAACAGAGAATTCTGATTCATTCACCCATATCTATCATCATGCTCAACCTGCTAGCATTTATTTTTGTTAAAATGGGAATTTCTCTGCATCTCTTGTCCATCAGATCAGTGTCTAAAATAATTCTGCTTGCTGAATTCCTACAGCATTTTTTTTGTAGAGATGAGCTGTGTAAGTTTTATTGTAGCTTATTTTTGGTAGCAAAGTAAAAGTATACAATTAAAATACGTTTTGTTTGGTTTTGAGGAGATTTATCAAATCAAAAACAAGTGCTATTCTGAAGGTCTGTGCTAAATGAGGAGCAGTCACAATGAAAACCAACAGAATGCCTCTAAACATTAACATGGCTCTGTCACCCCAAGCATACCTTTCTCCCAAGGTTTTCTCTTCTCTTCCTCATTTAGATTCTGTTGTTCTTTTCTTCCTTTCTCATATATTTCTCTTTTAAAACAAATGACCAAGTAGGGACTTCTTTTACTTATGTATCTCTCCTATGCTTAAAGGGACTCTCCAGTGCCAGGTAAACATATTTACCTGGCACCACCTCCTATCCCAAGTTGCTGAAGGGGTTAAAACCCCTTAAGTGACTTGCCGGAGTCCAACGCCGATGTCACTCGGTGCTGGGTCATGCTCCGCCTACTCTCCTCCCCAGCCGACGTCAGCAGGCGGGGGGGACCTATTGCACATTCGCGGAAATGGCCGCACACGTGCATTACATGTCCCCATAGGAAAGCATTATTCATTGCTTTCCTATGGGGATTTTGGCGACGCTGGAGGTAATCACATAGCGTGAGGACATCCAGCGTCGTCTAACACACTTTTCGTGTTGTAAGAACACTGAAGTCCCTCTAGTGACTGTCTGATAGATATAGGAAAGCATTGCGTTGGCTGAGATTGCCAATTCTGATGATTTCAGCTAAGGAGGTGGGCCTGGGGCAGAGCCAAATGCCAACCTGGCCAATCAGTACCTCCTCATAGAGATGCAGTGAAACAATGCATCTTTATGAGAAATGTTTAGTGTCTCTATGCAGAGGGTAGAGACACTGAATGTCAGTGTTACACAGCTTGCAATACCGTCCCGGAAGCACCTCTAGTAGCCATCCGAGGAGTAGCCACTGGAGGTGTCCCTAGGCTCTAATATAAACACTGCCTTTTCTCAGAAAAGACTGTGTTTACTGCGAAAAGACCGTGTTTACTGCAAAAAGACTACAGGGACTGACTAAACTCACCCGAACAACTACATTACGCTGTAGCTGTTCTGGTGATTATTGTGTCCTTTTATAGCAAGTTCCACTTCCTTTGTCAAGAAAACCTTTCTTATAGCACTCACGTTTCCATCCAGTCCTTCCTCGTAGTCTCACAAGATCACTGATCTGCATCGAGCATGTGGGGAGTTAGATCACTTCATAGTCTGGGCAGAAGAAGGCAGTGAAGTTGCATCACAGCCAGTAATTAGAAGATGGTGGTCCCTGGAAAAAGCCATAAAGAATACTAGGTTGGTATTTGGTTGCTAAATACTTTATCAGGACTTTGAGGAATTGTACAGTGGGGAGTTGGGGATCTAACAAAATAAAAATGTCAATGACAAAGCCGCTTTAAACATTTACAAGCGCTTGTTTTGTCTCGGAAAAATTTCCCCACAATATTTATTTTTGTTCCTTTTAAAAGAAACTAACTAATTTACCATGCTGCATGAGCATTCTGGCTGCCTAACTGAGAGTTTTTAGGGGCTGTCATAGAGCTGCATCTATTATTTACACATAACTGCAGTTCTCTCACCACCACTATAAACTATACAAAAAGCAAAATTGTGATGGTGCTTCGTGACACTTTTAAAGCTAACTTACTACTAAGACTGTTACTGCAAACTGCATGATTTTCTGCTGCCTTTTGTCAAAGGTACCGTCTAAGCATGTAAACTAACAGAGCTATGAAATTTTATGTGGAAATAAAGCCATAATTTAATTTTTTTTTTTGTGTGAAAAGAAAGCAGAAATCAGTTAATTGTTTTATACTTACATCTAGTAGGAAACAAGTTACTGAATGTTAAAAATAAAATCATAAGTACTTTGTAATTTTGTTTTTTCATTTTAGCACTGCTACAGTTCTTCTGCGGCATAAAATATAAGTGAATGTGTCTCTTTAAGATGGCCTTTTTGTGTATTGTAATACATGGATTAAAATGTTCTATCTGTTAAGAACTGTGCCTAGGACAGGAGTAGGCAACCTTTGGCACTCCTGATTTTGTGGACTACATCCCCCATAATGCTCTTACACCCATAATGCTGGCAAAGCATCATAGGAGGTGTAGTCCAAAACACCTGCAGTGCCGAAGGTTGCCTATGCCTGGCCTATCTCTGTGAATAAAGCAATGCCAGCGTCAAACCAGCTTGCTACTTTTTGTTTTAGGGAGTGACCTACTGTGGTGAGAGTTCTGCCAGCAATTTAACCATGGCTAATGTGCCTTGGCACGAAGAGGTCATTCGCTTTGTACAAGAGTTAGCTGATCTGTTACCGGACTATGAAATTGCTTGTGAACATGAACATTCAAACTGCATGCTGATTGCTCATAAAAAGGTAGGTAATTTTTTTTTTTTTTTTTAAATCCTAGCCATTGTAAATATAATAGTGACAAACTTAAAAGGAACACTCCAGCAGTGTAACATTGACAGATGTAGTATACAGAAATTATATAATTAATGCACTCACAGATGTAAAATTTAGTAGTGCTTTGAGTATGTCAAATTACTGTGTATAGATTTTAGATATTTTAGATTTTAAAAAAGTGTGTTCCTTTTCCTTCTTGCTTATCATGAGGTTATATAGCAATATAAATGCAAAATGGTACTGGACTCAACACTCCACCCTCCCCCCCAATTCCAACAATTACATAATATAGCTGGACATTATTGCCTGCAGTAGAGGCTCCAGAGATAGTTTGAAAAGGAGTGGCAAAAGTGGACACCCCCGGCGTGTTCAATTTTCTACAGGAAATAATGGCGAGGGAATGTTCGGTAGACTTAAAGCGCTCATGGGAGAGTCATATGTTATGAAGCTTAAAAGGTTAGTGGAAAGCTAACGTCAGTGAGCATCAGGAACGGAAACAAGTGCTGCCTTATCCACATCAAATTTAGAGCAAGTGGTACATGCTTGTGTTGGGCATACCAATGAGCTCCACGTGTTGTCAGCTGCTTGGTGATTTGGAATCAATTGTTCTTGATCCAGGTGGATCAGTTTCTTTAAAAAGGGATTTTGCTTAAAGGGACACTATAGTCACCAAAACAACTTTAGCTTAATGAAGCAGTTTTAGTGTATAGATAATGCCCTTGCAGTCTCACTGCTCAATTCCCTGCCATTTAGGAGTTAAATCACATTTGTTTCAGTTTGAGCCCTAGCCACACTGTGACGGAGCTTCCTGTACCCTGGCTGGGTACATCCACCGACAGATGTTCCTAGTGCTCACCAATGACCATCAGCACCGCACCAGACACCATAAGCACTGCATACCTCACAACCGCCGCAGCTTGGTTGGGGTCTCTCCTTCTTCTGCCCACCCTGGACCTACGACAAAGCTCCAGGTTCCAGTGGGTAACCCTCTCCTCCAAGTATAGCAGGATTAGCTGTAGAGCTCTTACAAGAGCTAGTAGAATTCAAGGGAGTATAATGATTATAGCAATTCCTGTAGTGATTATAGCTGTTCCCTACAACACGAGGCAAGGCTGAGAGTTGAGTGTAAGAAGTCTGAAGGTTTATTGGTACAGGTTAGATTTATATAAATGTACAGACCAATAAAAACAATGTAACAATAAACGACACTCCCACATACAGTACACAATCCCTCCCCACTGCCTGTGATATAATTAAGGCAGATAATGCTTTAACTTAATTATCCCCAGGCAGAAAAAACACAAATTTTTATAAAGTTCAATAAGTACCCCAAAATACAACATATCTCCACAAAAGTCCCCACATCCCCTGATAACCCTGATCTGGGTGACCAACATATCCAAAAATCACCCAGATCAGAGCAGGGGTTCAGGAATTCCCTGGTAGTCTATTTTGACCAACTGCATGCATGGTTTCATGCCCAAAACGGTTCCAGAGAATTAGGCTGTGCGGCCAGTCTATTTTAAACAGTCGAAGTACCGTTCGAATTACCGAACTGAATGGTGAATGCGTATAGTTAATGTGTGTCCTTTGTTTGTGGGCTTCGACTCACTGAACGCCGTTCAATTCCCGTTCAAATTGTCGGTTTCCTGGAAGGTAACGTTTCAGCGGTGTTCATGCCGTCGCGTGTCCGATTTGAGTTCCATGAACTCGACAACAAAACACAGCTGAACCTGTTTGACGAAATAAAAACGTGTTCGAATGGCGGCCATTTTGAGTACTTTGACACGTCGACTGTATCCGAAGTGCCACTTCGAAAGTTCGAAGAACTTTGTGCCAAGTCCCAATGGGCACAAATAGTATTTTTAACCTCAATAAATTAAAGGGGCCATAGTCACAAGGTAAAAGACTGGCAAGTAGTCCTCTCCAAAACTCTGTGGCGAAGTGGCTTTTGTCACACACCTTCTTTGGCTGTGTATGACACAGCCTGTATGAAAACAAAAAGGTCTCACTTTCAATCAAATGTAACTTACTTTAAAAGTTTGTATCTCCTGTTCTGTAAATTGAGCTTTAATTACACACAGGAGGCTCCTGCAGGGTCAAGTAAGCTATTAACAGAGCAGGAGATATAGTATTATAAATAAAACACAGTTTGCAATATAGGAAGTGTAAGCATTAGATGCCTCTTTACAGGAAGTGTTTAGGAAAACTGTGTAAGTCACATACAGGGTGGTGTGCCTAGGGCTGCATAAACAAACTTATTTAACTGATTTATCGCAGAGAATTGAGTAGGGAGACTGCAGGGGCATGATCTATACAGCAAAACTGCTTCAATAAGCTATAGTTGTTTTGACTATAGTGTCCCTTATACATGTAAATGGCAATACTTACATTATAAGTTATAGAACTTAGAACATAAAAAGACAACAGAACAAACACCCTTATTTGCACTTGTTAGTAACTCATTAGAAAACAACCAAACACAATATGTTTAAGAGGATGCCAAAAACACATGCTCCTTACATAGGACTACTTCCACACAGTTGCTTATAACTGCAGATACATAAAACATCTCTGCAGCTATAAGCCTGACCCTGGTCTAAAATCAGGGGTTGAAGCTGCATTTCCCCCTTTGTCCATCCAAATATTTGTACAGTGTGTGTGTGTACACACTATTCTATAAAATAACCCTACTCCATAACAGTCTCTTTCATAGGTTACTGTAAAGAAGTCTGAATGCAAAATTGTGTTTGAAAATGAGAACGGTTTATCCATTTACAAATAATATTTGTAAATGGATATAAGCCAGGCATCAATTCCATGCACCCTATGCAATAAATGGAATTGCGGCCAAATCGTTAAAGGAACACTATAAGGTCAGGAACACAAACGTGTATTTCTGACCCTATGATGTAAAAACATTACTTAGCCCCCTAGCCTACTCTCACTCTCCTTAAAAGCAGTAAAAAAAATCCCTTTCTTCCAGCACTGCGTTGTTCCACCGCCACTGGCCCTGATCCACCTTCTTGGCTGGTATAATCAGAATTCAAGATCTCAACCAGTCACAATGTTTTCCCAAAGAAAGCATTGAATTGGCTGAGATAGTCAATTCTGATGATCTCAGCCAAGGAGGCAGGTCAGAGGCAGAGCCAAATGTCGCCCTAGCCAATCAGCATCTCCTCGTAGAGATGCCTTGAACCAATTTCTTCTCTATGGGGAAAGTTCAGTGCCTCCATGCAGAGTGTGGACACACTTAACATCAGCACTCCACATTGCACAACCCTGACCCAGAAAGCACCTCTAGTGGTCCTCTATGTGACTGCCACTGGAGGTGTCCCTAGGCAGCAATGTACGAAGTCCCAGCACCCCTCTCTCCTAAACCCCGCCTCCTGTTTAAAAAAAATAAAAAAATATTAGCCAACAAGTAGACTCCACTTAGATTGCGCTGCTAATATGCGACTCTGGAGTCCAGCCTCTGGTATACCAAAATGACGCCGTCCACACCCAGTGCCAAAGTGGATCCTCCCTCTATTCCTTGAAACCCTGTGTAGCACGTTGACGTCATGTTGGAATGTGACGTGGCCTTGCGTGCCTCCATGCAGCACCAGTTTGTCCAATGACCAGTCGCAACCATTGCAACACTGACAGACACACACTCACTCACTGATTGATACACACACACACACTCACTGATTGACATACACACACTGACACACACACACATACTCTGACAGACACTCACTGACAGATACACACTCACACATTTACACATTCTTGCACACAGTCACATAATTTTATTTATTGTTCCCTACCTTTGGGAGATGGTGTGGGGTCTCTCCCTCTGGTCCAGTGGGGATCTTCTCCTCACTGCTCCCTCACGTGCACAGTTTAAAGATGCCAGGTGTCGGAATGATGTCATATTCTGGCACCCGGCATGACTACAGACAGCGCACACGAGTGAGCAGTGAGGAGCAGAAAGACTGAGCTCCCTCGCTGCAGCCAGCGACCTCTCCTCTTGGCTGGATAAATGTTAGCAGAGTAGGCACCTGAAATGTGGGGAGAGCAGGTGCCTATTGTGCCTTAATAAGCATGTCAAACTCGCAGGTCGCCAGGCCGCAAAGATATTAATTGTGGGCCGCGAGTTTGAAATGCTTGTTCTAGTGACTGAAGTGTCCATTTAACACCTGTAATTGTGCCATTGGCAAGGTTACATTTCTTTTGACATTATTTTTTTGTCTCCTTTGTTGCCAAGGATAAAAAAAAAATAAATAAAAAAAAAAACTAATTGGTGCACTTCTGTTGAATTTATTGGTTAATATATCACAGGCAGCTGTTTGAAGGTTGTATTTATATTGTCAACTGTAGCTATCAATCATCAATTTGAGTAGTTATATAGTATTGTAATTGGTGAAAACCTTATCATAAAATGGAAATAATAAAAAAAAGATCATTTATATTTTCTTGGTAGTGTACCATAACCAAAGTCTTGCAATGTTGTGCTATAATTGGGTTTTTAGATTCATGCTTACTTCAATTGATGGTTACCGAAAGGCCTCCTCTAAATGACACCAGCCCTTGACTCTTAACTCATTGAGTGCCAGAGGTACAAGAAAGATACACCTCTGGCATTAAAAGGGTTATGGATGGGTGCTGCTTTGTTTCAGACTTGGCTGAAGTAACCTCACAATGGTTTGTATAAAAACCTTTTTAATTATAAAATACATTTGATGTTTTATTTAAACTCTCTTTTTAATGTGTGTTGTTGACTCAAACATTTCGTTATATAGAGAAAACAATTCTGCGCACTCTGAATTATTCAATCAAACCATCTGCGTCAAACCAATAACCATATTACAGTCAGATGCAATATTGATTTAAGAGTTCTGGAATGGAGTGGAGGTTTTTTCCCCCCTTTCTTACACACGTATATAGCAACATTACTAAGCTGCAAAAGCTTCCAGGCAATGTCTGTTATTAAACCCAAGATGTTCACATAATCCATTTTTTATATGTTTAAATTATTGCTTCTGCATATGAAGCCAGAACTTGGTAATTGGTTGGTATATTTTCCCTCTTTTTCCTAAAATCAAATTTGAATACATGTTTAATTTAAAACAATGCATATGGAATTAGATGCCTTACACTGTGATCCAATGATCTTCAAATATAAGGTACAAAGGATATTGTTTTACACTTTGTACTGTATCAAGTTGAAAGTTTAGTTAAATTTGAGACATTACGGAAATATGCTCTGCTCCAGCTTTTCAGCAGCATTTTCTGAAATCTGTGGTTATCCCTTTATTTCGATATTACTGTTATTAGGTATTTTTCTGTGTGATTTTCTGTTTATTAGTTGTCATAAATGGTAATACTATTAGAACACATTCCATTTTAGTCAGTTTAAAAAGTACATCCAACAATACAAAGAAAACCGTGCAAATGGGAATTGGAGATATAATTGGTTACCAGTCTTGGACTGCAAGGGTATCAAGACTTGGGACGTCAGTATATAGCTAGGTCAGGGGATCTTGAAGTCCCTTGGCGTGCCAATCCTATTTTTTTAAATTGAGGCGCGTATGGTGTCATATTGTGCTAGTCTTCTTTACTGATACTGCAGTTGCTTTGTAGCATTGTAA